GAGGGTGGGACTCAGGCATGTGACATTTGAGAGTTTTCTGCAAAATAAGCTTGCACTCATGAGCTAATGTCTGACAGAAGTTATTTAGCTGCAGATGAATGCAAAAACAGACTTTTCTGTCATTTCAAAAGGAAGAAATAGTCCAAATTACACACAAATCTTTTATATAAATGGGAAACACCTGTAAATGAAGGTCTGGAGAATGTTTCCACGGTAAAATCCTTCAAGTTTAACATTGATGTAACCTCAGTAAGACGAGCTTTCATTATTCAAGTAAAAATCAATGTCAAACACATCTTCCACGTTTGGCTGTCCGTGTTCTGAATCGCCTCTGTCCTCATTTAGAGTCTGATCACGGCTCACGACCAGTTCAAGGCCACTCTGCCCGAGGCCGACAAGGAGCGCATGGCCACCCTGGGCATCCACAACGAGATCCTGAAGATCGCCCAGACCTATGGCATCAAGCTGTCCGGAGTCAACCCTTACACCACCCTCTCCCCCCAGGACATCAGCACTAAGTGGGACACCGTGAGTCAAATCAAACCATGTGGAATTCTTATTGGAGGTAGCATCGGAAATAACTGATCGATCAGTATTACGTATAGATAATTTATCCAGCACTAAGCAGGATCGCCTTCTGAACCTGCTTTTATTTCTGGTTTGTGTAATTTGACATTGTGTAAACAGGAAATGTCACACTCTTATGTGCTACATTTGGTCATCTGGCTAAAAATAAGTACAGTACATACATAGCGGCAGGTCAGAAATACTACAGTACATTTAGGTTGGAGCGACACTGAATACTCTCAGGGCAAATCAAAATAACTGCAGACCACAATCTGTCAGTGCACTCGCAGTGTGACACACACCTGAGCATCTGTGCTGGAAAAAAATATATATTTCTGTGGGAATCTTGAAATAACTAGTTGGTTAACCACTTAAGCCGGACTTGAACAACTATATGAAATGTGCAAACATCACAAAATATATATGGTTTCTATGTTAGTCAACTAAATTCAGTGCTGAAATCCAGTGACTAAATTGTGGCTAAAATATCTGGAGTTGTAAAAGAGTATGACTGAGTCGATGCAGCAGGAAGGCAAACAGCACTTAGTAATAACTAAATGTAAAACAACTCATCTTTTGGTGCCTTGGTTGGATGTTTTCAGCATGAAAGAAGCTCTTGTGACTGCGTATTTAATTTATTTATCCACCTGCAGGTGAAGCACTTTGTTCCCCTCAGAGACCAAATGCTCCAGGAGGAGGTGGCCAGACAGCAGGCCAACGAGAGACTGAGGCGCCAGTTTGCTGCCCAGGCCAACATCATCGGACCCTGGATTCAAACCAAGATGGAGGTAAAGTGTTACTGCAGCTGTACTGTGAGGAAACTGTAGTTTAAAGTTAAACTACTATTTTATAATATAACGGTAAGACTTTATTTATTGATGTGGTAAAATAATGTAAAAACCACAGAAAAAGAAAGTAGTATGAATATTAAAAAAATTACACACAAATTACAATGTATGTAATGCAATACAGTAAAATATAAACAGTACTGGGATTATGTAAAGGTATTCACCTTTGAATTTGTAATTGTTATTTAGGTGTCACGATTTATTTTTAGCTTCTGCTCACAGATACCATTATAGCTCATTTTAAGTTAACAGTTGACAAACTAATGAGCAGTGCATGAAAATAAATGTATCTGTACACACAGTACACCTGTTATAGAAGAGCCAAAGACGACATGTAGAGCACCAATGCATTTTAATGTGCTGCCTATGATAACGTACAGATGTAAAAACTCAGTTTCCTGCCTCTGTACGCCTGCAGGAGATCAGCCACGTGTCTGTGGACATTGCCGGCTCCCTGGAGGAACAGATGAACAGCCTGAAACAGTACGAGCAGAACATCATCAACTACAAATCCAACATCGACAAGCTGGAGGGAGACCACCAACTCAGCCAGGAGTCCCTCATCTTCGACAACAAGCACACCAACTACACCATGGAGGTACAGTGGACTGACTGTAGCCAGGACGAAGGCCAACCTTCCGCCCGCCACCGCTCGTTTCTTTGCTTAAAATGTATTGTCTCCACCTCTTCAGCACATCCGCGTGGGCTGGGAGCAGCTGCTTACCACCATCGCCAGAACCATCAACGAGGTGGAGAACCAGATCCTGACCCGCGACGCCAAGGGCATCAGCCAGGAGCAGCTCAACGAGTTCAGGGCCTCCTTCAACCACTTCGACAGGGTGAGGCGTTCACTGACCTGAAAGAGGAATTTCTAACTGTGTGTGGCCTGGAATGTGATGTAAATTGGGCTTATACATAGAAAATGTATAAATAACAACACTTAAACTGCAGGATAGATCTCAATTTATTTAGATTTCTTTAAACATTGAAATCTACATGCTTCTTTTTATGTCCTTCTAAGAGTTTCAATATTCAAGAAAGTGTCAGTCACACAACTTCAGTTAATGCTCAGTATTCTAGCAGCAGTAAGAAAGTAAAACATGGGCTGTATTACTCTGATAGGAGCTACACTGGGGATCTTATAGCTAAACAGTTTGATCCAATAATTAAACACAATTGCGTTTTTCCTTTGCAGAAGAGAAACGGCATGATGGACCCAGACGACTTCCGTGCCTGTCTCATCTCCATGGGTTACGATCTGGTTAGTGCAACACGTACAATTTCAGGACAAAATGACATTGATATTGAGTAAAACTTGAATTGTCAAGAAATAAAACATGTCAGTGTCGTGAATGTAGCAAGAGGTCAGAGCTTTGCCTGAATTAAGTAATAAAAGTGATATGATTACTGAAATATTTGTATTGTATATGCAGTGCAAGTTTGTAAAAATGTTTATAAAATGTATTTTTGCTGCATGACACTATTGCCAATTGGTGAAAGCCGCAGCCCTTCTTTTTGTTACAAATGTGCCTGCACATTATGTTGAATTGAATTAACTGATGTTGAACTAAAACTATCCTTTTCTCTCCTGACAGGGTGAGGTGGAGTTTGCTCGCATTATGACCCTGGTGGACCCCAACAACACGGGCGTGGTGACCTTCCAGGCCTTCATCGACTTCATGACCCGCGAGACCGCCGAGACTGACACCGCAGAACAGGTCATGGCCTCCTTCAAGATTCTGGCCTCAGACAAGGTGAGCAGACGAATCCGGCACCCTGTTGGCTTCACAGCAAAGAACATCTAACCTCACCATGAGACCCAACAACATTTACCACTGACACAGTAGTTGTTTTACACTCGACACGTGTGAGATTTTAGCAGAGATCCAACATGATCATCGAAAACTTATCACAATACACAATTTCTGTCTTTTGTAGTTTGGGTTATCATTTCTCTCGTCTGTTATTACATTTTACGCATACAAGTAAATGTTAAGATCTGGGAACAATGTGACATGTCTACGACGATCTAAAATAGGGCAAGAGACATGTTGTAAACAAGCCGGGTTACAGTCCATTTTATGCAGTAACCAAATTTCTTAAAACGTCATGTAAATGAGAAACCTTTTTCCCTGTAGAGGTAAAAATAGTACAGGTAGAGGATTAGAGAAACTAGATTTCTCGGCCATGTGAACGCGCAACTCATGTAGAAAGATGCCAAACTGGAAAAGTGACAGCAGAGAGGCTGAATAAAAGGACAGCCGGTCAGGAAGTTAAGGAATCTTTGCAAAATTAAAATACAACTATAATTATCAGTATGTATTTAGTGTCGTAAACACTCCCTATGTTTGTTCCATCTGGAACAGCAAAGCTATTTGACTGACCTATAAAAATATCTAGAGCTCTTTATTAGTCGTCACTTTATTTGAAACTCTGGTTCATTGCGGGATCCTGTAGGAATGACGGCAGTGAAGGTGACCTACTCCACCTAAAAGTGAGCTTTGTGATCCCAGAAAACCTGAGTTAAGCCCCAAGATAGCTGGCTAACCCACTGATCTGCGTCGTGGTACAGAGCCCCTGGTTTCCTGAGCGCTTGTAAACATTCTGTCACTGTTCCCAGATCTCAAACTAGAAGTATTTTTACCAGCAGGACAAACTACAAAATTAAGAGTCAAATTTACCTTCAAATCTGGAAGAATAGTAAAGCTTTCTCAGTTGCTTGGTTAGTTAGCAGTCTGGCTATGAAATTTAAAGTGTTTGTAAAATTCCAGTAGAAGGGAGGTTTCAAAATCAGCTCTCGGCTAAGTATTTATTTAGTCTTGGTGCTATGGGACAATACAAATCTTTTTGTTTTTCTCTGTAAACCACATCCTCACTCCCTCTCTCGCCTCCAGAATTACATCACAGTGGAGGAGCTGCGCAGGGAGCTGCCGCCCGAGCAGGCCGAGTACTGCATCAGCCGCATGACCAGGTACATCGGAGCCGACGGCCCCGCCGGCGCCCTGGACTACATCTCCTTCTCCAGCGCGCTCTACGGAGAGAGCGACTTATAAACACAGCCGCCTCTCTTCTTCCCCTTCTTCCCAGCTCCCGCCATTTCTCCTATGTGGAGAGAGTGATTTAAACCCCCTTCCACTGTCCTCCTATATTCTTTGTTCTTATCATTTTTTCCTCTTTCAAAATCTTAACTTCTCTTTCCCTTCTCCCAACTTCTACCACCCCCCCCCCCCCAAAAAAAGAAACACTGCCCAGAGAGGGTGAGAGTAGAAGGCTTTGCTCTTAGAAGCTATGTTTGGACGGGCCAGCTTGTCCCTCATTACTGCTAGAGTGCCTTTAAAAACCAGGACGAGGCAGGTATTGCACTGAACTTATGTAAGCTTCATACATATAACATATCGGCCTTTAGGAGACATTAAACAGAAAGTGGTAATGAGGGAGAGGAAAAAAATGTGAGTTATTTTGAGCAAAGCCTCGCGCTCTCCCTCTCTGACTTTTTTTTGTAGAAGGGTAATTAAAGAAGAAAACGTGATAAAAAGCTGGTTGGTCAGTTGGCTTGGTTGGTTGTGTATTTGTGCAGATGCATGCTATGTTGAAGTTTAGAAACGCTGTCTTTGTGAGTCTCTGACTCTTCCTTAAACATACAAAAAAAAAAAACCCACAGAGGGCATCCTTAAGAGCCTGTTAACATTTCAGTCAGCAGAGGAGCAAAGCCAGTCAGGTGCTACGATATTACAAAGCCAGTCTCACTCTGTTGAAGAATAAATAACCACAGCACTGTGAAACCTGAATGTTAGCAAAGAGAAAATGTAACCTGGAGATCTTAACGCCTTACGCTCAGGAACAAACGGAGGGTGAATGGGAGCACCTCTGAAACACTGAATATTAAGATGAAGACAGCAGGCAGGGAGAGCAACTCGGAGCAAAGCACTGTGGGTAAATAGAGAGATGGCCATTGGCCGGAACGAAGCCAGAAAGACAAACTGTTACGGCCAGAGAGAACGATCCCACACACCTCCCTCCTCTCTGTCCAGATCCCCTTTAGATCGGGATGTATTTCAGCTAAATTTAACATCCAAACACACAAAGGTGATTTATTTATTTTTTTCACATCACGGAGGAGGGACGCAGACGGAGAGAGGTGTTGAGCAGTGAGAGACAACAGGGCATCAGGAAAGTTGTGGACAAAATAAGAGGAAGCGATGCTGTGCGTGGGACCAGAGCAGGCCTATGGCAGTGACAAAGCAAATAGGGTTTTGGTCCCACTGACAGGTCGGCCATGATAATGAGTGCGAGTCGACTCCTCCCTGTGCATGATGATATTTTAATTTCATCTGTGCTCCCTTCTCCTCCTCCATTCATTGTCCATCATCGCTGATGCCACAAACACTCACGGTTAAAATTTAAAAACCACACCTTGAAATAAAAAAGGAAAATTATAACTAAACAGCAGTTGTTTGTCTTTTTTTATTAACTTTGAAATGTGCAATTTCTTTACTCTAGTATACAAGTGTCAATAATTGTGCTCTGGGTTACTGAGAAAGTTACTTATGTTCCCACTACAATAGATGTACAATAGCACAAATTCAGGGTGTTTTTTCTCTTTGGTTTGATAAGTTGTACAGACCATAAACCGTCCGACCTCTAGCCTCCGTGCTGAGGTCACATGTCAGGGTCGTTGTTGGGGTCCAAGCAGAGGTGGGACGGGAAGCTCAGGCCTTTTTCCTGGGCGTAGCGTTTCCAGTGGTCCTCGTCCCCTCGGTGCGTCAGATACCTGCAGCCCATCCTTTGCTCGAACTCCCTGAGGTCGCACCACAGCTGGAAGTCCTGTAGGAGGAAGATGAGAAAGGGGTCAAGAGCTGACATCATGGAAATGTATCTTTAAATGTGCCAGAAGATACTGAACAGATAAATCTTTCAGTTTGTCTCCAATGCAAATCACTGTTTTCTTTTTACCTGGATATTATGCCCTTTTTTTTTGTCTTTACGTCACCTTATGATAGTCACATATAAAAATCTCTAAACAAGTTGGTTAACATTGAAACTGAAATGATCCAATAATAATACATTAGGACAAATCTATTTTTAACAAGCCTTCTGTAAAGACCTACTAAAGTGAACACATGCAACACAATAACAAAAATTTGACTGAAAACATAATGGGTGAGCAAAAATGTCTGCATTATACTGTATATTCTACACATCTGTCTTCCATCGATGGCAGTGTAATGCACCTGACCTGCAGCCAGGGGTGTCCCAGCGCTTTGCCCACACTGTACCTCCGTCTGATCGACACCTGCAGCAGGTTATTGATAAGACTCACGGCTGCAAAGGAAAGAGAGAGAGAGAGATGGGGTCTGAGGATTTACTCAATCTGTATTAGAAGTGGCCCTATAGAGACGAATGGAACTGTTGTTGGGTGTCAGAGCCACTACAAACGCATGGTGGGTGGTTAGGTTTTTGAATATTTCACTAACTGTATAGATCATATAGCTTTTTTTAACCTTAAGGACGCATAAAGGGCAAAATAAAGCAGATAAAGAACAATATTTCCAGTGCTCTGTTTCCTTTAATAAAGCACTGGGGACGATCTTCAGTATATTTTTACTGTGACACTCATTCACTTGAGGTTGACATTATTTGCTTTAAGTTGCATTTCTATACAGTTGCCAGCAGGTAACATCTTCTCCTGGATGATGCATTCAAGGACATATGAATGTTGACTACGGCTTGTCAATACGGCTTGCATTCAAAAGGTGTGTTGTCGAACCCAGATAAACAAAAACTAAACACAGACCCTTGGGGGAAAGAATGATGTGAATAGTCTTATTTGAGTTTACTTGAACGCACCAGCAGGGTAGGTTTTCAAAAGAAATCGTCCTCACCCTCCAGTGAGATAGAAGCCCAGGTTTGTCGTGGATACATGAAAGCAGCGTTGGTGATCTGCTGTCTGATGTCCTCGTCCTCGTTGAAGGGGAACGTGCCACTCAGGCTGACGTACATGATGACGCCCACAGACCACATGTCCAGAGAGCGGTTGTAGCCGCTGCTGCTGATCACCTCGGGCGCCAGGTAGGCAGGCGTCCCCACGACTGAGCGACGGAAAGACTTCTCGCCGATGATGCGGGCGAAGCCGAAGTCACACAGCTTCACCTGCAGCGCAGACACAGAGTGGACTTAACGCGCTGTTGTGTCCTGAAACACATTGTGCAGAGCAATCACAGAATCCCACCTGAGGGAAGGGGTCCGCAGAGGCCAGCAGGACGTTCTCAGGTTTCAGGTCACAGTGAGCGATGTGTTTGAAGTGCAGGTACCGCAGAGCCTCAAGGATCTGCAACAGACACACACGAACATGAGAACAACTTGTCATAGTAACATAAGCTTTACGCAGGAGGTCACTCAAAAAAAAAAATCTACTTTCATGGACGCTGTGGTCTCCAGGCTGAGGGACGGCCTTAAAGAGTCTGCATTAAAATTACTTTTGCGGTCTACAAATGTGCATTACTAATACTTTTTCTATTAAAAATGTAGTTAAGTTTGTTTCTGAGACAGATCTTTAGATGAAATCCATAAAAATGAAAATCTAAATTTTTTTAAAAAGGGCTGAAACTGAGACAAGCAAGAACAAAATCTGGCTACAAATCCACTGTTACTGTTCAAAACTACTTGGAGATGAAGAACAAGCAGCATTATAGGTGCCCCAAGTTGCATTTGTCTCTGAGCTGTGATCAGTCTCTTGGCAGAGATTTTATTTTGAAAACCAAACATTTATGGATAGACAGAAAAATATAAAAACACAAGGAGACCCCTCAGATTTGTCTTTGGACCCCTTGTGGCATCAACAGTCACAGAAGATAACATAAAATCAGCGTTGGCAAGTGATCTTACCTGCGTGACCAGGAAGCGGGTGTTGCGTTCAGGGAGTCTGCCTTTTTCACTGGACAGGATCATCTCCAGCATGTCTCCATGAAGCTTCTCCATGACGACAAAGACATGCTCCACTGTCTCAAACATCCCCTCCACCAGGACCACACCGAGGTGGGACAGATTCTGAGACCCACACGCGCACACGCACACACACACACACACACACACACCCCTATTAGATATTACGTAAATAATCTTAGAATAAATACAGAGCTGAAAAACGTATCAGTACCTGCAGGATGGCCACCTCGTTCCTCAGCTGTCTCTCTTGTTGGGAGGGGAAGCGCGTCTTGTCGATGACCTTGATGGCGACTGGCCGGCCCGACTTCCTGTGAGTACCTGAAGAATGAGAAATAAGTCACATATAACTTTATTTAACAAGCAAACTGCATTAGCTGCATGTTACTGTAATACTTCAACAACGTAGTCACGATAAGCTCACCTCTGTACACCACTCCGAACTGCCCTGAGCCCAGCACCTCGTCTGTGAGGATCTGATACACCGAGCTGATGTCCTGAAACACACATTAACAGCGTACAACACGCGCATAGGCAACCTCTTCAGGAGTTCACTATGTCGATTGTAAATTGTGCAGTATGATGCTTACCGCTCTGTCTCTCTGCAAGTATTTATCTGTAGATCAGGACAGGACAGATTTAATTCACACAGAGAAAAGATAAATCATAATTTAATAAGCACGTATTGTCTGATTCACCGATGCGGAGGTTGTCACATTAGAAGTCATATAATTAAGCATTTTAGTTAATTATCATTAAGGTCTAATAACATGAACATCCAGAGGCGTCATTTTCCCGCTCACCCTGGTTCTCCTCGCTGTGTCCACCGCTGCTCTGCACGGGCATCAGAGCCTGACGGACGGCGCTTTCCCAGGCCGGCCCGCTCTCCCCGGCCACCACGCAGTACACCAGCGAGGCCGTCACCACCTCGAAGGAGTGGGCGCTGTCGCCTGGCAATGGGGGCACGGAGAGCTGGGCAGGGCCTCGGACCTGCAGCACCTCGGACAGAGTGATCTCCTGCAGGAGAGGCACACAGTTACACTCAAAACAATCACTGTTATTGATAATTACTTGATAAAACTAATTGTAGTGGTAAAATGGTACTAAAGTAAATAAAGCTCTGCTGTGTCATCAAGTTTGATATTAAATTAGTTTGGATTTTAAAATCATTATCTGTTACATTTTATACAGTGCTTTTCAGAGTTGTATCAATACATCATCAGAAGTGTTTGTCGCTCATGAACTCTACCTTGTAGTACTTGGTGCTGCTCTCGTTCTGGTACAGAGTGAAGCTCTTCCAGTCCAAGATCCAGTAATGACGTTTCCTCTGGGAAAACAAATCATTCATATTCCATGTATGTAGGAAGTTAACGGTATATGAACAAGTTAACTCACTCAGGTCCACTTACTTGGTCGAGGGCTTGATACAGGGGATGCCTGTGTGTGTGTGTGTGTGTGTGTGTGTGTGTGTGTATAAAATAGAGAAAACATAAAGGCACATTCAAACCTGCAGAGACTAATCAAAGCTCAAGAAGCTTCAAATTGTGTGTGAGAAGTCTGTTCAAAAGAGCTAGAGAATTTTTTTTTCTTAATAATGTTCCCACATGACATGCATCTCTCTCACTTTAGGGTTAAAAAAGCTAAGACATGTGTTTGTTTTTGTAGGTGAGAGCTTAATTTAATCTGCGGCAGCTTTGACAGTTCACAATCACCCAAAACAAGTGTTACGTCTCTTATGTCAAATGAAAAGCTGGTGACTTGTGTGGGCTTTTTACTGGAATGTTTGAGATGACTACAGAGCTGAGCTGATTTTAGCCACATTTTTATTCAACTGGAAATCTGTGTGTGTGTGTGTGTGTGTGTGTGTGTGTGTGTGTGTGTGTGTGTGTGTGTCTCACCAGTGTGTCAATGTTGGTGTGATGCAGCAGCCACCCCTCTTTCAGGACTCCACCGGCTCTCCTCTTAGTGTGATGCACCGTCTGGACGAGCCTCATCAGGGGGATGTAGCTGCTGAAACACGGACTGATGGGAGGGAGAGAAAACAAAAGTCAATAGGACATGAAAGAGAAGAGGAACCGGCTGATTTGGGGATAAAAACTGTGGAGGAGCAACTAAGATCTGTGACAGTATCCACTAAATGCCTCTAGGTGGCGGTAGGGCCCAAAGCTCACTGACTACATTAGTCAAGCAGATGAAGTCATAGACCTGTCAGATAAATGACAGGAAAGATGTGTGCATGCGGGTGGCAAGTGACAACAGCTGTGAGTCAGATTCAAACTTGTGCCATCCGCTGTGGCAGCAGGATGCCACAGTCACTATTCAATGGGACGCCATCATCAGAATAAATTAACAACCCTCTGACCTCATCGGCTCTCGCGCTTGCTCGACTTCTTTGGCCTCAGTCACAGAGTCTCCGTCAGTGGACATCTCATCGTCAGAGAGATCTAGTGTCGTCATACTGCTGAGCTCTGACTCGTCCTCCTCTGGGTCTGGTAGGTAGCTGTGACGCCCTGCTGTGGATTCTGGGAAAGTGACATCATATGCAAACAGCATTGGGGCTGCAGCTAGTGTTTATGTACACAAAATATTTTCAGCTTATCAGCATTTTAGCTGATCAACTGCTGGGTCAAAGTGAGGTCATGAAATTGCTTCATTTGTTTGAACATGATATGAATATTCACATATGAGAAGCTGAAAGACCTTTTTTTTCTTGACAAATGACTTAATCAAAATAACTGACATCTTATTTTAGCGTGTTAGCGTGCTAATATTTACCAACTAGCACTAAACAAAAGCACTGAACGAAATTTCAGGTGATGGTGGTGGCCAGAGGAAAAGTTAACGGATCATCAAAGTTAGTAGTGCACTTCCTGTTGGCAAAATGTTATGGAAATCCAGCAATCCATCTCATCTCAGCTTGGACAGACAACTGTGGACCTAGTGACTGACCTCGTCATTGCTCTCCCTAGCGTGGCTAAAGAGCACACATACATTTACACCCTAAAGGGATTAATTCCATTATCAGTAATACAGGAACATACGACCTACATTAAATCACAATCCTGCGATTAAACATGTTATCTGGTACAATTATTTTCTTATCAGGATTTGATCACATTTTGCTCATGAACATTTCACTAACTTTACTTGGACAATTGTGATGTTTCTGGGAATCTAAAATGAGTCCTGGATCTATCAAATACTCTTGAGATGGAGCGTGAATCAGCTTTGAGTCAGCGCTAGGTTATGGGAACATCAGAGCGGGGGCCTTTTCCGAGAAACATGATCTAACAGTCACAGGCCCAGAATACAAAATGGAAACCAGAGCTCCAAGGGGACTGCTGCTCACCTTTCCCATTGACGCCTCTCCTCTCTCCTGGACAGTCTCTGGGGACCAACACCTCGCAGCGCCGGTGGCAGTTAAACCTGCAGTCTGACAAACGATCAGAGAGGAGAGGTGGCAGGTTGAAACACAGAGGAAAAGAGAGGCCCACATCACGAGGGTGACTTTTAGACATGTGCAAAACTGAAAATGACATTTTAAATATGGCTTAAATGTTTCGTTTTCTCTATTAAAATTCAGATTTTTCATTTCAGACTGAGCTCTGAGACACACGCAGGCATCTGGGGAAAATTAGCATAGATTCAATCCAATCTGCTTACGCAAGTGCGTGGGATACACAAGCTCCCTGCTCACACAACAAACGCACACAAGCCTCTCTGTGTCCAGTTTATGTGTCTGAACCTTTAATCCACAAATGGCTCATCAAAGTCAAGGTGCTGCTGGAACACAGCATCTAAAAATGGCCACAGCGGAGGAATATGTTTTAATATACTGCATGACTCATCGTTGCATGAAAAAGTCAGATTTGAAAAAGAAGGCAGGCTACATTTATCTTTTAAATACAAGATTTAAAGAGCTGAAGATTGCAAGGTGAGGCATGTTTCAGAGTAAAATTTCATCCTTGACCATGGAAACAGGTGTTTGACCAAAAACATTTAACTCAGGGTCTTCCTAGCTATTTTTTTGAGAGCGTCTAACCTCGTGCCGGTTGCTCAATCGTCATGAAAATGACAACCAGCCATCTCTGTGACAAACTCCATCAATTGAGCAAGGTTGCAACTGACATGGTTTAAAAGGAGGCTCCGAAAGGGAGGGCTGTGAGATTTTTTTGGTCAAATCAATAATAATCCAACAAACCTCCAGGAAATCATGGCTTGTGGCTAATTTCGATATATTTTTCATCAAAGGCTATCAAAAGCCTAGCCGTTTCCCCTCTTTTCAGTCTTTATGCTAAGCTAAGTGGGTGCTGCCTGGTGCTAACTACAGATTTAGCATAGACATATTAATCAGTGGTTATAAAATATTCCCAGTGGTTTTTTTTTTTTTTTAAACACCGCCTCTTTTTTTATGCGATGTGTAACCCGACCAGAGGTCAGTCCTCACCTGAGCACTGTAGCCCCTGTCTGAAGAGTCCTTTGAGCAGCTGGTGGCAGTACTGGCAGGCGGTGGGTTTGGTATAGCTGTGGATGTGGAAGGTGTGAGGGACCTGAGCCCTGCTACTGTCACCGTACCCGATTCCCACCCAGACCGGGGGCTCTGTCCAGGATGGAGGCCTGGATGAGGGCTTTGACATGCTTATCTAGTGAAGGACAGTTGGTGAGAGTCGTCAGTTCCCCTCTTACATGTGAATATGTGATTAGAGATTCATTTTAAGACTTAAAAAACAAACAGGTTTATTTGTCCTTTTATTTAACAGTCGACGGTAAAAAAGAATGCCCTGTCATCTTTCACTTCCTTACCTCCTCCAGGCTGCCTCCTGCCTGATTGGACAGCGAGTGTGTATGGGGCCTTCGGGGAGGAAACAGGGACAAACTGGTGCTAACCTGACGCCGTACTCGACTACAGTTATTGGGCAACTGCAAAGCACAACGTTTATGAAAGTCCAACCCACAACCTGAAAAGAGGGGGAGCAGAAGAGACAGACTGGAGTTTAAAGCACTTAAACATTTCAAAGCTTTTTATGTAAAGCTGGATAAATGTGAATTAGTATTTCTGAGAGACAGAGAAGCTTCACATTCAGTTTTGTCAGTGGCTGCAAGTGTTACATTAGATATCAGTGCATGGAGTGTCTCAGCCATACGCTGAATAATGACACCTTACCATCACATTTTAATCCCTGTCGAACGAGGCCCCACAGCATTTCTCCACAGTGGTGGCAGAAAGTGGGAGTCCTGTACGACTGGACCACCAGGGAGTGCGGACGCATCCTCATCTCAGTCACTGACGCTGATGCTGAGTCAGATTAAAATAAGAGAGATGGTGTATAACACTGTTGTACTATCATTTTGGGCAGCATTTGACAGCACTGTATTATACATGCATTGCAACAGTTGAGCAAGGTTCAAAAGTGTACTCTACTGGTAGATTCATCATTGAAAAACATCTGCATTTCCGCATCTGTTTTGCGTGTTTGTTTTTAGGTCATAAAGCAAACCAGCTCCACTTTCACATATGTTGCATCCTTGTTGCTTTTGTAATTCATTCATTCACTTGATTTGTAAAATAATATACTCTTAAAGTCTGTATGAAGAGTTTCCCTCGAAAATAAGACTAAGCAATAAGATTAGGGTATAAGGGGATAAAACAGCAAATAGATAGCTGAAAGATAATCCACAGAAACATCCTGATAAAGCCCCCCCACCCCACGCTATAGACTGTGGACCTCTGACCTGCGATGATGACGTCGATGAGGTCTCCATCTTGCAGCTCGTCGTCGTCTGTCAGGCGGTGCAGGCGCAGCTCTGAGGCGTGCTGATGTCTGAACAGCAGAATCTTCTCCCCGACGCCCACCACGCTGCAGTCTGGAGCCTGAACACACAGACAGTCAAAGATTTCCTTCACGAAGCCTGCTAAATTTAAAGCTTTTTGAAGTGCTGCTAGAAAGCGTTAGATCTGCCTGCCTGGGTGAAGCTCCTACATAAACTTCTATATGTGAACATAGAAAACAGCTACACAGAACTTCAGTACTTATTCAGCTCTTTCATCACTTTATCAACATCCTGTCCCACTTTAAACTAAATAAAATAAAATCCTTCACATAATACTGAGATGTTTTTTTTCTGAAGCTAACATTTCCATGTAGGCTTTAATAATTTGATACCAAATATGATTGCAAGTCTAGAGACAAAGAACTTGTGCAGAAACTCGGCTGGTTTGAATCCTGGCTGAAAAAATGAGAGGGAAAACGGTGCAGGGGAAGTAAACGAGACATCTGAAAACCCCCACCTTAAATGTCTGTATGTTTCAGTAGATTAAAAGACAAATGTGTCAATGTGTGGAACTGCTGTGGAGGAGATTTAAATGCTCCGTTACTGTTGAGTGGTCAGAAAGAAAGAGATGGATTCAGCGCAGAGAAGTTTTAGAGGGACAGAAACAAAAGAACCAATTCTGTGAACAATCTGTTCAACAAGTCAAACCGTGACCTAGTTACAGGACCTTCTGCGCTCAGCAGACAGGAGATCAAAGGTGATAAAATCTGAAATCTGGTGACAAAAACTGCATCTTCAATCTGCCAGTTGTTATCGACCTATGCTGTATTCATACATGAAAGGCGGTAAAATACTGCGCCACAATAAGCAGCACAGCTGAGAAATACTTCTCAGGGTACATTAAGTTGTGCTTGACCTTGCTCATGAAGAAAGCTGAATTAGTGAGAAGGAACGGAGGAATCAGTACTCTGAATGGAGTCTGCACGGTAGTGTTTATACTATCAGCTCAAAATTTAACATAAAGTCACATTAATGTTGGGCACGATTTAAAAACACCTAAAAGCTGTATTTTTGGCCACTTCTCCTCTGATCAAATAATGTGCTTAAAAATAATACCTCAACTTCTGGTGATTTTTTTGTTTAACATGAAGGAGTGAAGGATTTGGAGCCTTTAGAGACATGAAAAATATAAAATGACCCTAAAAGAGTTAGACATTAGACTAGGAGATAGAGAGTTTTCTCCCAGCAGTGACACACACACACACACACACACACACACACACACACACACACACACACACGTATACAGTATGTGACATATCTGCAGCCCATGCACTAAAATGCTGTGTGCGTGTGTAGACGCACACTTCAGACGTTGCTGACCTGCTGCCTGGAAACTCGAGGACAGATCAAAGTTGAAAGGAGCACTGGTGCGATCGAGGCAGACTGTGTGTGTGTGTGTGTGTGTGTGTGTGTGTGTGTGTGTGTGTGTGTGTGTGTGTGTGTGTGTGTGTGTGTGTTAGAGACGGGTGGGAGAGGCTGTGGTTGGAAAGTTTGCTAAGCTGTTGTCTACCACAAACTCTCTGTAAGTGAGGCAGTATGAAGACCAGGCCAGCTGACACTGAGACAGAGACAAACACCAGCGGTTCATGAACATCTTCATCTAATCTCGAACAGTTTCAGTGCACCATTATTCTTCTACTGACTGTAGGTTTAAATGTCAAGCTTATTAATCCTGTGTTGTTGTTATTACCAAATTCTCTTCCCCAAGTTCTTAGAAATATACTATAAAGTTTAGCAATAAGAGGTTGTGAAATGGGGCGTTTGAATGCACTTTTATGGCGTCAATGTGACATTTTAGACACAAGATTTTTATTTTTGTCCAAAATCCTGAGTCTGACTGTGACAAAAGAAAAACAACTTAACTGCTCCAGAGCTGGTTTAACAGTATAAAAGATGAATCAGACATGTAAACAAAGGGGATCCACTACAACATAACTCCAAACTTTGCATCATACAATGATGCAGAAACTTGGCGGTTTCTGAAAAGCCACATTTTAAATAGTAACCTACACAACCCTCCTCTGTGCCTACGGTGACCTTTTAAAGTCCACTTCCTGACAGCTTTAAGCAATACGTCAACTGAATATTTTCCAAGTGGGAAGGGTGTTAAGGGTTAGAGGATATCTTCATACACAGATGTGCCATTTAAGCAAGTGCTTGCTACAAACTTGTGTTTTTAACCATCACTAATAATGGTTTTTAGCACCTTATCGCTCACTTTGTCCTGTTGGAGCTGCTGAAAATGTCCACTGGAGCTGCTATGGGCTGAGTGCCATCCCGATCAGTGTTGTTACATCTTTCATCTTTCATTTGACCTGCAGGAGTGAAACTTGAACCAACCAAAGTTTCAGTTTTAACCGGATGTACTGTTACTTTTAAAAACTGCTTTGTGTGAACCTGCCTACCTGCCTGGGGTTTACAATACAGAGAAAAGGCTAACCTAAATGCTCCTTTGTGGCCATCTCCACCCATCTCATGCTCTAAGCAGATTAAAACAGACACAAACCTCAAGATAATTCACTCAGCCTGAGTAGTTAAAAGGGGAACAACAATTCCCATCATGCAACTCAAAAGAAACTTCCACTGTAACTTCTAATCAAACCCCACACCTCCAGTTTGCAATGTAAACTTTCTGTAAAAACGTCTCACAAAGTCTCAGCCCAGGCCTAAAGAGGTCCTTCAATACGCTTCAGGACGGCAGTATGCAACGAGCCTTTGATTACCTTGCGCTCTATGATCTCTGCGGCCAGCCTCTTGGCATGGCGGTAACTCAGGTTGCCAGCGGGGACTCGAACCACCTCCCTGAACAGGCCGAGCTGGAACTGGACCAGAACCGGCGCTGCGAGACTGGTGGGGCTGGAGGGAGTCACTGCGGACATGGAGAAAGATCCTGTGGCGGGATGGGATTCGTTGTTAGATCATTACAGGAACATTACCAAAACTATTCCTGGTCTATTCAAATAAGTCACATTATATGCTACTGTAATGTTGATTAGATATTTGCTTTAAAAAAAAAAAAAACAGCTGTTGAGGATGTAATAAGTACTATGTGTGAAATAGTCACTGATTCAATCTCAATTTGGTTGAGAAAAAGAGTGGCATCAGTCATTAGTAACAGCTGTCTACCAACTGATGGATCATTTTTATTGATGGACTCACCAATATGAAATAGAAAGTGACACATTTTAAGCAGCGAACACCTTTTTTGTCTCTAAAAGAAGAAGACATCTAGAGTTGAACATTGATCGGTGGAGAAAACATTACACTATTATGATCACGATGTCATTGCTCTACATGAAGAGTCAATGAGCAGCAGGTCTCTCTTTAAATTTCCAGTTACCAAAACAAAAACAGTGAAATACCAACTCTAGACACGCATGTACGCAGCCTTACTTTCTAATCCCGATTCATTCAAGCGCTGATCTTTCACCTCAAACGCAGGATCGTATCGCAGTGATGCAACAGCGGATCACTCCACGGCTGTGTTGCCGATTCTCAACATGAACTCTGGTGGGTCTGGTTTCCTTTTTGTGGAGCTCGGCTGCCAATGACAGGAAGTTGCAGAGAGTGAGAAACTCACCTCTGTGAAAGCTGTGACGGCGCAGCGTATGGTTAACACCCAAGGGCCTGGCTGTGAAAACTCACTCACACACACACACACACACACACACACACACACTTTGATATGGTCTAAAAGACAAAAACGTCATCTCCACAGTTTCTGACAGCAGGGAAGAAGATGAAAACGTACGAGACACAGAATCAGTTTGAAAAGTGGAGTTTGTATTTATTGAAATTTTGATAAAATACACGTTAGGTTGGCCCTTTCACAATAATATCCATCAAATCATCAGCAATACAGGAGCAAATAAGTCCCTCACACCTATACAAGACCTTTAAACCCACAACATTAACCATCCATGGCTCTGAGTGAATGCACTCATCTCAGAGAAACAAAGATATGATCCATGTTTGGATCAAAATCTTCCTCATCATCAAACGGAACTATTTTCATTTACGCAGTTTGCAATTCATAGCGAGTCTGAGATGCTTGAGAAACCCCAGAAATATCCAGAACAGCACCAACTCTTAACCTGGTCAACAGGTGACTGATCAGAATGATTGATTAGTATTGGTATAATAGTTTGGGGTGCAGAGGAAGCCACAGTCAGGAAAAAGGTGTTTCTATAACATTTCCTTTTTTTTTTTTGGAGAACTACAAATTAATGTTAAACTAACTTTTGTACACAGCTACATGGTGTTGAGATGGTGTGTGTGATTAAAAGACAATTCCCATGATTCCTGTGTGTGTGTGTGTGTGTGTGTGTGTGTGTGTGTGTGTGTGTGTGTGTGTGTGTGTGTGTGTGTGTGTGTGTGTGTGTGTGTGTACAAGTGGCATACAGTAAACATACATAGAAAGGTTGTATACGGATAATTCTGTACATTATTTGCTGTGAACGACACTTAAAGCACTTTTCCTGCCACAACCGTCTTTCCAAAGCACTTTCCATCATTTCTTTTTTGCTTTGACACACTTTCTCTACTCCTTCATTCCTTCATGCCTGTATTTCTTCATTACTATCCAAAACCGGCGCCACCTCGCACATTCAGCACAATCACAAGCTGATAGAATAATAAGCACTTTTTTTTTAGACTCAGCATTGTGACATCAACAAAAGGTGACTTCAAGAAGGGCGACTGCAGGTTATTTACGGCACGTGGCGATGGTGTGCATGCACCATCGTTGACGAGGTGCCTTCACGACAAACCTGCGTCTTACTATTTCTAAAATCTGACTCAGATTGTCAGGATTAACCTTCTTGTATTAGAACATTTGGGATGAAAAAAAACTAAACAATCTCTTGACAATCTCATCACAGTTGATGTCACAAGGTGCCGAGCCCGATTTCGACTTCACGCAAGACGTGTACATTCTGAGGACAGTTCTCTTGGTATTGGTCTTATTTTGGTGGAGCAAACAGCACAACAAGAAAATCCAGCGTAAATGCCACCAGACCCCGACAATCTACATAAAAATTAACATTCAAATAACCTGTTTTCAGTACCTTCAACATAAAAAAGCTCCGAGTCCAAACAGGAAAAAGCATCAGCACAACAAAATCCATTGAGGGCGGATTCTCATCGGTCAGATTACTTCAAGTGTTTGATTACGACTGATGAAATCCATCCCAGTCAGCATTAAAAACAGAACAGTGAAGATTGGTTTGTACAAAATGATACATACTCAGCAACAGTAAATGAGGGAACAACAACAAAAAAAAAATAAATCACAAGAGAAATCCTGTTAAGTAAACATAAGGTCATTAAGGTAGTTACCCATATTTTTAAACGTGGGTTGATTATGCCTTGAATATCCTGGATTAATGATTGTAAACAAATTACATCTAAATATCTTTCACAGCATTTTCCTTCAATATTATTCAGACTTATGGCTGTTTGGTAAAATCCTGGACATCCTGGCAGAAGGTACCTGAAAGTAATGATTACAGTGTTCAATTTCAACTTCCAGTTGTACCACATAGGTAGAATTTAGAAGGGTGATTCAGATTTACAATTGGTAATGGGTCTCTTACAATTTCAAATTAACTTTCTGGCCCAATTTTCTTTCTGGTCTGACCAGTACAGGACACAGAAGAAACTATAATATACATTAATGACAAGCTCAAAGTGCATTCTAACAGCATATTTTAGTGTTTGAGGTACTAAATTTATCAGGTTTTATAACATTTTCATTGACATGATGAACTAAGTGCCAATTTCAATGTTTCCTTTATCTTTCTCTCTCGTCCTTGCCTTCTTTTCCAGTCTTTCCCCTTCATAACAAGTAGGATTTTCACCAACTGAGACGCTCTTTTTAACCCAATCGAGTGTAAACAAAAGAAAAACAAAACAAGAAAAAAAAATCAATGTGCATTATATACAAAGAATGAAATATCAATCAATAATTAAATAAAACTGTATATACATAAAAAAATAAAATAAAATAAACCAAGAAGGCAAAAAGTGAGGTTTAAATGGTTAGTGCTAATGTTTTCTGAAAATACCCAAAGATTGCTTGTGTTCTCTTTTTATACCTCTGCTTTCTCTGATAAAACCTAAGCGGATCGTACCATTTTTTTTTTACCATCAGTGATACGCATTCGATGGCTGGCTAGCATCGGCAAACACTTCATGCTACTGGTGAAATATACAGAGTGCAGTGCTTCTCTCTGAACTGTAGCCGGAGTACATTGAGCCTACCTAAGGTTGAGTGTCTGCACATGAGAGTGTGGATCGAAGAAAGAATGTGAATACGATGCTTTGCTACGGTGCTAAACACGAGGCGTTCAGGTGCAGACATTCCACTTCCTAGTAAGCAGCATGCTGATTAATGTGTATCTAAATATTCTCTTCTGATTGAGGGCAGCGGTTTGTACAGCGAAGCAGCAGCGACAGAGACTGTCTTACAGCATGACGTTTAGTGTGGTGGTGCTATTTTTTCCCAGTGTTCTTTTAAAAAATATGCTGCAGGCGCAAGTGTCTGATCTTGCTTTAGATGTGTTTGTTTGATCAAACCAAGCTGCAAACAGCCTCTCCTCGTCAGGCCGCTCTGCCTCTCCCCAGCCCCACTTCCTGTCTCTGTCTAGCCTATCAGGGAGCTGCGTCTGGATAGGTCCACGTTGCTGGCGCTTAGTCCCCTGCAGTCCGAGAGTCCGGAGTTGGTGTCCTAAAAACAGACCAGTTAATGTTATCATGATATCATGCATTAGCCCACTTTGAGCTGGTAGTTGATTCACTGGATTAGGCAAAAACACAGTGATTTAGCCCTTTCATCTGTAAACAGTTTGTCCGTGTAATTTTCAAACATTCACAATATTCCAGTATGAAAGCGTTTACAAAGGCCAAGTTAAATCATGTGCTGCGCTGAGGCAGGTGTGATGAACACATGAATAAAACATCATTGTACCTGTGTGGTCTCCTCAGTGCTCTTGTTGAGGAAGTTGAGGGAGCTTGCTCTCTTCATTCTGGGCAAAACAAAACAATCAAACAATGAGCCTAAGTCATTAACAACACATCAGAACTGTTCTGATTTTAAATAAATAAATAAATAATGTGTTAGGTATAAACTAAATAATAATATTCTCAGCGTGTAAAAAAGTGTATTTGGGTAACTAGCTAGCCCCACTTGTCACATAAAAAAAAGGAACGTTAGCTTGTTGGTCGTAGCAGCTAGCAAAGTAATAAGGGTGAGAGGCGTGTGTTTGGATTTCAGCTGGCAAAAATGTTGTTTATGTTTTCAAATATGTGTTTGGGATTTAATACATTCTTGTCTTCCTCATCCTCTGTGTATAAACAGGTGTGAAGGAGATCTGGGTGGAAGCCAATAGTTGTCTACTGTTGAGTTACTACAGCTCTGTATTCACTAAACACGCCCGTTTTTGGGTGATTAAATCACATCCAAAGGATTTGATTTCTATTCAGGACATAAATAGACCACGCTGTTAAAGTCCGTTTAAATGTTTAAAATGTTTAAATGTTTTATTATTATTTTATTATTGTATAAGTAAGCACATCATGAGCAATGTACAATCCTGAGTCAATTTCCTCGTACGTGTACACATACAATAAAACTGATTCTGATTCTGATGTTCAGTGTGTTCAAGTTTATGTGGTGTCTTGTGTTGGGGGTTGCAAATTGCAACCAACGGCTCACTCACCACTCCACCCCTCCCTTTGCTAGCGCTAGAAGCTACAATGGCTGACACGCTCTGTCAGCTCTTGTGCTAAATAAAACATGTAGTCCTTTATTTGTCCAAATTTCACTTCTCTTATTTCTAACAAACCAGATGACTACAACTACCACTTCTTCTTGCACGTATTCAACGTAGTCACAAAGAGCGCTCTGTAGAGCTGTTTGTTCTACTATAGAAACATGGCAGCCCAGGCGATGTATGTAGATAGAAATGGCTCATTCTAAGGTAATAAAAACATAACTGTTCATTATGTAAGGTCTTTATACACCACTGAAAACATAGTTATGGATATTATATTACATTTCTGTCAATAGATCGTCCTAAATATTACACACTGAATTTTTAATTTCATTCAGAAATACGTTACATTACAATTGTTAAAGACACCTTAATTCACGCTTCACTGTGACTTTAACAATGAAAAAGGCTGAGTGGGGAAGCCTAAAAGGGCCAAACTAAAACAAGAGCAACAACTACATCTTTAAGTTCCAACATAATGACACATGGCTGCTGCTGAAAAGATAGTTTTGATTAATTCATAGGTTGAAAAACATTTTTTTTTAATTTACTGACAACCATTTTAACTATTGCCATTTATACAAGATTCACAGGTTCCAGCTTCTCAAATGTGAAGTTTTGTGATAAAAATGCTATTTACAAGGTCAAGAATGAACAAGCTCATTATAAAGTAACTGTCTCTGGGTTTTGTTGGTCAGACAAAAGAAGCAATTTGAAGAAGTAAATGTCTTTAGTTTTCATCTTTGCCAATTTAATTCATGGGGTCTACATAAGTTTCTCAGATGTGACAGTTTTAGTCCATACCACCTCG